AGAATAGGCCATAGTGCGCTGCCCGGGCAAACTTATCCTCATAGCACACGGCATGGCGCATGTCCGTATTCATTAGCCCAGTCGGAGCAGAACAGTAGGTCGTTAAACTCCATTTTATTTCATTTCTTTTTAATCCGTCTTAATCCAATCCTGGAGATTATCTCCCGTTGATATTTGCATTCTTTATTTTTAACTAAATGTTAAAAACTCAATCTGAGTACATATAGCGTCTATTAATCCATGAAAAATTTAATACGTTTCGAAAACAACGAAATGGCGATCAGTGCCTTTACTTACCGACGATATTCCCAATCATTGACCACCGCGCATGCGCGACAGAATAGACAATCTTATGCAATGTCATGCCGTGTTTGGCAGAAGGCATAAATGAAATGAAATAGGGTTATCGCCCTACTTTTCTGTTTCAACCAGGCTAACGAAGATGGACATATTGCCATACAGTGGGCCATGAGTGAGATTTTTCCCGGACAGCAATTTAATTCCAACTGTCAGGGATTCTTTTACGTGCACGGGGCCTCAGTTTTTCGTCCCATCTAAACGGCTGTACGTTGTTTCTTACCAGGTCCTTCCGTCATGCACCACTGACACGTGGAAACAACGCCGGAAATTCGCTATGAGAGAGAGAGAGAAATGGGGTTTAACGTCCATCCGACCCAAACTAGGTCATTTCGGGACTAACACATGGTTCACTTTTAATTCAATAAATCGCTTGCGCGTAGGGGTCTTTAGCAGTGGGAGGAAACCGGAGGACCCGGAGAAAACCCACGAGCTTGGACAGGCGACCCTACTCCTTGTCACGTACAACCGGGGATTCAAAACCCCGCCAGTTGACTCAATGACAGACCGTATGATACAGCGCGCGCGTGCTAACCATTCGGCCACCCAGCCAACACCTGGATCGAACACGGGACTTAATTATAAAAATGGGATTAGCGTTTAATCTTCGCCTATTCAACCCAATCCAAGCTCTAATCTATTAGATATGTTTCAACGCGTCGTATTTCGTTCACACCATTCGAGGTTAGGTAAACATAAAAATAAGGTTTTATTTCACTATTTGCAGTCGGATGGTGTATATGTCCGCAGTTCATTAGTCTTGTTGCAGCAGGAAATCAGGACTTTAAACCTCACATCATTTCCACAAAATGGCTTCCGCGATATTAGATTTACACGGTGGGAAGGGAGACAACTCTGGTGAATCCGTACCGTATGGAAACAGTGCTCGAGAACTAGTTACAAGCCAGGAACAATTGTTGTACTCGCTACAAAACTTACAATACGAACTGATGAAGACCGATAACGAAACAACACAAGCTTTGGAAGAGATCAAATGTCGAATTGCCTCAGCCCACATGAAATCATCACGATCAAAGGTTCCAGCATCCATTAAGTATAAAGCTAAATCACCTACAACCTCTAGAAGACAATCTCTGGAACTGGTTAGAACTCCCAGGGGCACGTCCACAACGAATTTTAGTAGCATTCTCGATTGTTCAAGTGATCGGAGTTCTGGTGATTACAGATCGTCGACGTCATTCAGTGACTGTACTTCATCTATCTGTTCTGAAAGGTTGGACACAGATAGTGACGAAGATAAACCTGTAGTTGTATTAAAACCCAGACGGAAGAAACCTCTCACTATTCTTAGATAGTTTGTTGAATGTGATAAAAGATTGTGTATCGCTGTGTTTGTCGGTGTGGTATTGACTGTCTGTGTATCTTATGTTGCCTTAGCTGATAAATACGGTGTATCTTCTATTATTCTATTTGTGTATGTGACAAATACTGTGTATCTTCTATTGTTCTATTTGTGTATGTGACAAATACGGTGTATCTTCTATTGTTCTATTTGTGTATGTGATAAATACTGTGTATCGTCTATTGTTCTTCCGTTCATTCGTTCCTGGAGTTTTACGTCCACTTCCACCAAGGGTGATATCGCAGACAAGAGTATCCTAAGAAACTTGCCAGAGAAAGCCACAAAATAGGCTTGATCCAACTTTTTGTTCTATTTGTGTATGTAATGAATACTGTGTATCTTCTATTGTTCTTGGGGGATCACGTGGCTAAGTGGGTAAGACGCTGGCTCGCTAGCCTGGAGGTCGGGTGTTCGATCTCTGCATTGGCCGAGAAAGTTCATCCAGATTTTCCGGCGTGGTTTCCTCTTGTCAGTGATGCAGGGCGGGGGGGGCCTGACAAGGACAGCTGTCTAGTCGTTCGGATGGGACGAAAAACCGTATGGCGTATGCCCGTTTTCATTAGCCCAGTTTAGGAGCAGAACAGTAGGACGTTAAACCCCATTTCATTTCTATTGTTCTATTTGTCTATGTGGTAAATACTGTATGTCTCTATCGCCCTGTTATACTAGATTCCCACTGTCGTGTGATACGATACGATAGGATTGTCCTTATTAAGTCCACGATCAGATACGTTCGGATACGTTTCGATGCGATCAACACGATTGCTACCACTGACCTCAATATATGATCAGACCTGATAGGATCACTACGATTACTCCACGATTAAAACCACGATTTCAATCGCAGCGCGAATCGTGATAGTGGGAATCTAGCATAAATCAATGTGATAAATACTGTGTATGTTTATGTCTCTGTTGGTCAATGTGATATATTATATTGTGTGCTGTATGTGATAAATACTGTGTACTGCTCGGTCCTCAGTATTAACCTACAAATGTCTTCATTGTGATCGTACACCATTTTATTTAAAGAGTCCTTCCCGCCAGTTAACATTATCCGATAATATGGAACCCTTTACCGCAAAGTGTTAAAACAGTGGAGGTAATATACTTGTGACATTGTAATTTGCACCTGTAATATGGACCTACATAATGATATCGACAACCAGTCAAAATAGACTTTGTTTTCCAGACTTCCTTTCTAGTGTTCATCTACCAGAAATTCATTCATTATTATAGTCAATTAATGTAAAGTATATTACAACAATTGGTTAATTGAACCCCAAAGGGGTTAAGCCACGATGGATGCATATATAGTTCTGTTAATGATACTATACTTTCCACAATAAAGCAATTTAAATATGATGGATAGTTTGTGATAAAACTCCAACCTCGTGGGTTTTCTCCGGGTCCTCCGGTTTCCTCCCACTGCTAAAGACCCCTACGCGCAAGCGAATTAATTAAATAAAATTAAACCATATGTTAGTCCCGAAATGACCTAGTTTGTGTCGAGTGGACGTTAAACCCCATTTCTCTCTCTCTTGTGATAAAACATATATACGCAGACAGTATTTTATTGCATCTAGTTTCATTTTAAAAAATGAAGTTCAATCTGGGTACCTGTTTACATTTAAAATTTCAGGTCCCCAGGTAGAGCCAATGTTTTAACTGTCGTCAGTTTAAATGGCTTAGATCACAAATAGTCATATGGTTCAATTTTATTTCAATAATTCGCTTGCGCATAGGGGTCTTTAGCAGTGGGAGGAAACCGGAGGACCCGGAGAAAACCCACGAGGTTGGACAGGCGACCCTACTCCTTGTCACGTACAACCGGGGATTCGAAACCGCGCCAGTCGACTCAATGACAGACTTTATGATACAGCGCGCGCACGCGAACCATTCAGCCATCCAACCCCCCACCAGGATAATGAAAAAAGGCATAAGCCATACAGTGTGCCATGAAAAAAACGTTACCTAGACAGCGTCGTTTTCACCTGTTCTTCATCGAATTCCAATTGACATGGGTTATTTTACGTGCCATTCGATCAACTAGACTCCTTCACGGTTCTACACCTCTGATAAGGGGGGGGGGGGTGACAAGGGATGACAAGGGACCTTCTCGGCCTACTTCAGGATCGCCGTACCGACTGAGCCACCGCGGGTCCCAGAAAGTAGAGAAGAAATTGCTGATTATAGAATGATACAAAACTAGAAATGGCATCATGTACAAAAATCAATTTTATACATGTCTGCTAAAGAATATGTAGAAACTGTCATGGTCATGAAACTATTGATTATGATGTTAGAAAGAACATTGACCTATAAAGAGTTTAAATCAACAAAATTATTTTTTGTATCCATTGTGTCTTTAAAGAAGTAGAAACGGTTAAGTAACGATGAGTGATTTGCAATTTTCGGAAAATATCGAATTTCTAACGCCTAATCCACGCTAATATGTATTCAGACTGATTATTTAAAGATTTATTATGGGAGATTAGATAAAGAGCTGGCAGTTCTCACTATAATAGTTCAAAACTAGATAATGTAAAGGGAATTTGCTGAAAATTTCAGTCAAATTGATCCACTCTGAACCGATTGGATTTTCAACCTAGCCTCGATCATCATTACTAAAGTCGGTACGATAATAAGAAACATAGTCTCGATTATCCAGTTTATGAATAAATCATGAATGAAAGTTGAGCAACAATTCGGATCCTAATCTAGCAAATATCGCAGACTAGCGTTGACATCGAGAGTTGAATATGGCCTGGATACGTTAATTAATGTCTAACTTATAATTCAGATAACATTTCAGGCCTAAAGAAAGACTTGTAATAAGCAGATTTAACTCTTGCATAATGTATGTTTAACATTTAGTAAACAAAATCAAAATATCAACGCTCTGGGTTCAATCGGATTTAAAACAGGTCCATCAATTTGGTTCACGGCGAATGAAGATGGCGACCGTCTTGTTACATGGATCGAATCGTCATAACGTTGTAAGGTCTGTCATTGAGTTAAGTGGCGTGGTTTCCATTCCTAGCTTCTACGGTTTTCTCCGGGTCCCCCAGTTACCTCCAACTGCTAAAGACCCCTACGCATAACCGAACTGTTTCAATAAAATTGAACGATATGTTAGTCTCGAAATGACCTAGTTTGTGTCGAGTGGACGTTAAACTATCCCTCTCCCCCTCTCTCTCTCTCTCTCTCTCTCTCTCTCTGTTTACTGTAACAAAGTGATCAATAATTAATATGATAATCATAACTACACATATTGATGTTTGGGTGGAGCTCTATCGTCTCCCGCATTAAGCTGAGTTTAAAAAGAGCTGTCAAGACGTCCGCCATTGTATTTGAAACATCCACACATAAAGAAACTTTACAGCAGATTATTACTAGATAAGAATGAAGGAATTAACATTGGAGGTAAGAATTAAAACTCAGTTGTTTTGTATCGTGCTTAATTTAATCAGATTCAAGAATTAATCCGCTGCTTCTTGATAGTTAATCCTATTGAATCTATTGTTTATAGGATTAACATCTTAATCGGTATTGGCATCCACAAACACGTACGTGTATAAGATAAAGTTATATACTCAAATCAAAATGAAAATCATTCGTTATTTTCAGTTTTCAAATCAGTATCCACATTGAACCCTTGTAACTGATAACTGAAATGAAATGGGGTTTAACGTCCTTTTTTCTGCACCAACAGGGAAATTTTGTAAAGGGTTATTTTGCGTTTACGCTAACGTGTACACGACGCTGTTCCTTGCCAGTCCTTCCTACGTCACTCTATTCTGACCTGTGCTGAAGTCAGAAAAGCCCCGTGAATGAAGATTACGCGAGTCTATAATACAAACATTCAGTACCATTTGTTATTATTCGGTACTGGCGTTTATTAAAGTCAGAATAACGCCGTGATGTAGGAACAATTCTGGTCGAATTAGTCTGTGATAAACAAATTGACAACCAAATTGGTGTTGTGTCATTTTTTATAACACATGTTTACATATAGATATCGTTGATATCGTTTAGATATCAAGTCATACGAAACTTACGCTGTCGGTCTATAATTAAATCGGCTTGTGAACAGACACGAAGCTGGTTGGACTTCATTTTAATTCCCATTTTGATACGTGACAAGGAGTAGGGTCGCCTGTCCGTGGGGTTTCTCCGGGTTCTCCGGTTCCCCCCCCTCACTGCTAAAGACCCCTACGCGCAAGGGAATTATCGAAATAAAATTTAATCATGTGTTAGTCCAGAAATGACCTAGTTTGTGTCGAGTGGACGTTAAACCCCCCCTCTCTCTCTCTCTCTCTCTCTCTCTCTCTCTCTCTCTCTCTCTCTCTCTCATTTTGATGATTTTAGTCGAGAACACTAAGACGTTTCAAAAGTATTAATTCAGCTTCGATTTTCATGAAATTTGTAATCTTTACTTAGTCTGTCTGTATATGAAATGAAATGAAATGGGGTTTAACGTCCTACTGTTCTGCTCCTAACCTGGGCTAATGAAGACGGGCATACGCCATACAGTGTGCTATGAGGGAAATTTTGCCTGGGCAGCGGCGCTACGGCCTACTCTTATATCGAATTCCAACTGCCAAGAGATCTTTTACGTGCACGCCAATGTGCACACGGGACCTCGGGATGAACTTTCTCGGCCAATGCAAGGATCGAACACCCGACCTCCAGGCTAGCGAGCCAGCGTCTTACCCACTTAGCCACGTGATTCCCCCTTTTGAGTTTCGTGTATATAAAACGGGTAAGAAGCGCATAAAATATCAGTTGCGTGCACTATATTTTCAACATGGCGGTCAATCAGAACAGAGATCTATACTCAACGTAGATAGTTATCTGTGTGTAGAATGGATATCCACGTGTTATGATATATTTAACGACAGAAACTAGACCCCTATAGTATTTACTTTGTAGAGTAGATATCGATATTTTTAACAATACACTAACAACATGCATTAATGCAAAAATGTTCAATATAAATTGTATTAACGACTGTGGACTTTTATTCGATTCGCGCTTCATTATCGGTTAGCTATTAACGTAAAATAAAAAATAAAAAATCAGGTATCACTATGGAAACGAGTGTAAACAAACGACGGTTTCTATGACGATATATTAGTGGTGTCTGTTAATCTGTTAAGGTGTGTTAATTTAGTTATTTTAGATGATAGAAATAATAGAATATAGATTGTAACGACAATAGGATGTAATTAATAGACGTGACATCTATTCCTGTATGCAATTGATCGTTTAATAAAACCAACATCATGTATAGACTATTCCTATTTATTTAACATCGTATTGTAGTTCTTATACACAGTGAGGTCTAAAAGTTAACTCTCTCTCTCTCTCTTTCTCTCTCTCTCTCTTTCGCCATATTGGGGAGGTGGGTGGATGGCTGAATGGTTAGCGTGCGCGCGCTGTATCATAAAGTCTGTCATTGAGTCGACTGGCGTGGTTTCGAATCCCCGGTTGTACGTGACAAGGAGTAGGGTCGCCTGTCCAACCTCGTGGGTTTTCTCCGGGGCCTCCGGTTTCCTACCACTGCTAAACACCAATACGCGCAAGCGAATTATGTAAATAAAATTAAACCATATGTTAGTCCCGAAATGACCTAGTTTTTGTCGAGTGGACGTTAAACCCCATTTCTCTCTCTCGCCATATTTATTTGACGTTATATTGTAGTTAACTATCTCTCTCTCTCTCTCTCTCTCTCTCTCTCGATCTCTCTCTCTCTCTCTCTCTGCTAAATATCTCGTGTGCTTTAGATCTTGTACTTAGAAAGTAGTAAGGTCGCCAGTCAGTCTAACCTCGAGGGTTTTTTCCACTGTTGAATATTGCCCTCGTTCGCTTTAGGTCATAAGGTCTCTCACTGACTCAAGAGGCATGGTTTAGAACCCACGACACTGCTAAAGACCCCTACACACATGTGAATTATTGAACTTAAAATCGATTCATATGTTAGTCCCGAAATGGCCAAGTTTGTGTCAAGTGGACGTTAAACCAACGCTTGTATTCGCCGTCATTGTCATAACTCAGACACGGTGAACTTACTGATATCCTGGTTTACATAAATGGGGATGCTCGATTGAGAGTCCGGGACGTTCCGAATTGATAGAATTGCAATCGAGTGACGCGGAATTCAGTAAAATCGTGACGTAATTAAACACAACGAATATGTTTTAGTGATCCTTTAGAGGCATTTAGTAACTGGATAGAGCAATAAACTATAACACATACTTATGGAAGAACAATTACTGATTTATTTAGGCGACGTTTCGAAGAGTATTCTCTCAACGTTTTCAATACTCTTCGAAAGGTCGCCTAAATAAATCAGTAATTGTTCTTCCATTACGTGTTTTAGTTTATTAATATGTTTTATCTGTCATGGTTATGCGGGATTTTTCTTATTCAGTGGCCCGATTGTCACTATTTTTGGGATTGAAAGAATTCAATTCCGGAACAATAATCGAGTATCCCCCTAGCAAAATCATTTGATACAGGTGAGAATTATACAATGTAAATAGAAGGCACGTGGAATTTAAATGACTGAAGAAAAACAAACTATTGCATCCTGGTTGTCAGCGGCTGAATAACAACTTTACATCCCGATTATCCGGTTTGGCAACTGTTTTTTTTTTAAATTTTACATTCAAGTATTTTTGAATATGTTCTGTGAGATTTTCATCTTAAGAAATCGTGGTTTAAATATTGACACGGGGGTTTGTTATTTTCTTGAGTGACTAATAAACAAACATGCGCTTTAATTAAAGGGGGATGCGAGGCCGAATGGATCAGACAATCTCTCATTGAGTGGCGTGGTTTCGATTCCCCGCTTGTGCGTGACAAGGAGTCTGATCGCCTGTCCAACCTCGTGGGTTTTCTCCTGGTTCTCCAGTTTTCTCGCACGGCTAAAGACCATTACGTATAGCGAATTATTGAAATAAAATTGAACGATATGTTAGCCTCGAAATGACCTAATTTGAGTCGACGAGTGAATGTTAAGGCGTTAAACTCTCTCTCTAGTAGAACTTCTTTTCTCCATCATAACACACAAGGAAAGATTTACCATTGAGTGGAGGTTACTCCCCCTCTCTCTCTCTCTCTCTCTCTCTCTCTCTCTCAACCTGCCCGTTGCTGATCTTTTATCCAACTTTATATTTTAAATAAATTATTAAACAGACATTTATTCACATGACAAGCCCATAATCATCTCTCTGGATTAGAACATACGCATCATTTAATAATTTAACGTTGAAATGGATAATCGGGGCTTTGGTTATCATCGTAGCAATGTTACTTGACCATCGAGGCTATCTTATCGATACTTTATAAACTCATAACTTCGCTCAGACCAAAGTGAGAGAGAGAGAGAGAGAGAGAGAGAGAGAGAGAGAGAGAAATGGGGCTTAACATCTACTCGACACAAACTAGGTCATTTCGGGACTAACACATGGTTCAATTTTATTTCAATAATTCGCTTGCGCGTATGGGTCATTAGCAGTGGGGGGAAACCGGGGGGACCCGGAGAAAACCCATGAGGTTGGACAGGCGACCCCACTCCTTGTTACGTACCACCGGGGAATCGAAACCACGCCAGCTGACTCAATGACAGACCTTATGATACAGCGTGCACGTGCTAACCATTCGCCCACCCCTCCCTCAATATCGAAGACTGTGGGTGACATTGAGTTAAAGACCTAGCTACTTTAACTTCGCTCAGACTAAAGTAATTTCACTATATATATTTGAACTATGGTAATAAGAAATAGCAGCCCTTTATCTAAATCTTACACTATTCATCTTTACGACATCCGTATCCTGTAAGTAACAATTTTTAACTATTTGAATAGGAGTAGTCACGTGTATGAACAGGAAACAATTCGTTAACTGTTGAAAACACACAGTCGGGTTCACCAAGAACATAAACGTCAATAATATTGGCAAATATCAGATTTGAAATAACTTTATACCCGTCCAGGCACGGACTGGGTAACTCTGCGCCAGTGCGCCAACTGTTTTCCTTGGGGCACCATCGCGGTGACGAATACGAAACTATCTCGATTCACCTTTCCCGCTCCCCACGCATGCGTTTAAATCCTTGAAATCAAGTTTGTTACAGAGATCTGTCAAATATTGGGTTGTCCTTTAGGGTCTGAAAAAATATTTGCGTTTACGGTTACTTGACCCTTAAAAATCGGGGGGGGGGGGGTATTTTATTATTTTTGTTTCTCGTGAGATTTGTTCTATCCATTTCTAGCATTTCTAGCTTAATCGCTAAGAAATGTTCTGGAAGATAATATCGGAATTCCAGCGTTGTAATTTGTCCACAAATAAACACGAAATAAACAAGTTATATGGGGCCTGAGAAATAACTAAAAAGATTATGGTCGGCGATTTCGACTAAGCAAGACTACACCTGAATAAATAAAATAAAAGAGAACCAGTTATATACATGTATTGTAATGCATATTGTATTGTATATTGTATTGTATATTGTGTATTGTGTACTGTATATTGTACAGTGTATATTGTATTGTATCTTGCATATTGTATTGTATTGTATATTGCATAATGTATAGTATGTTGTGAATTGTATACAAATATATGGTATTGTAATCTATTTACAGAGCGACTATAAAGATATCTGTAAATCTGCAGGTAATCGCTTATTGGTTCTACAATTTGGAGCTAGTTGGTGCGGTCCTTGTCGAATGATGGCACCCTACTTAAATGTAAGAATTCTGTTGTTTTGGGTTGGTTTTGTTTTTTAAAGATATACTATAATTAAATTATTTTCGGTATATACAAAGCTATCATGAACTGAAAATTGCATAACTCTTCATCGAATTCCAACTGCCAAGGGTTCTCTTACGTGCGCACCCACTTGTACACGGACCCTCGAGTTTTTGTCTCAACCGACCGACTCGACCACACAGATAAATCCCGAACAATTTTATCAGTGAACACCGGGATCTTTTGGTTGGTCAGCCAGCGCCTTACTGATTCCCTGGAAATCTGAAAATACATCCAGACCATTCAGGATTCATGAATTCAGTTGAATTAGAACACCATTAACATAAGAGGTCTTCCATCTCCTTTCAATCTAATTAAACATACATTATAATTGAAGATTAGATAAAGAGCTGGCAGTTCTCACTATAATAGACGATGTAAAGGGGGAATGCTGAAAATTTTAGTCAAATTGCTTCACTTTATACCGAGTAAACCTTATTTTATAATCACCGTAGCCTCGATTGTCATCGTTACTGCTTTCGAGACTTTTTTAATTAGCAACGGACGTTGAACATCACATCGGATTCAAATAAAATGGCATCGATCATTGATTATGGTCTTTTCATGTTAATAAATGTCTAAATAATAGTTTATATAACATTAAAGACCTAAAGAAAGACCTGCAATAGGCAGATTTAGCTCTTGCATAATGTATGTTTCATATTTTATTTTGATTTTTTTATAAGAAACTAGAAGCAGAATATGAAGGTACAGTTGTTTTCGCCAAGGTTGATGTTGATGAGCTGTCGGTAAGTTCCATAATACTCTGGGGGCTTGGTTCAGCTTCGGATTGGTGTCAATTATCAGTATGATACGTCATCGTTCCGGTTCGGAACAATCAAAGCGTCACAATTCTATGGAATTCACTTATTGTTTCTTACTGAACAAAATGAAATGAAATTAAATGGGGTTTAACGTCCTACTGTTCTGCTTCTATACTGGGCTAATGAAGACGGGCATACACCATACAGTGTGCTATGCGTGAAATTTTACCCGGACAGGGGCACTATCGCCTACTCTTATATCAAATTTCAACAGCCAAGGGACCTTTTACGTGCATTCCAATGTATACACGGGACCTCGATTTTGGTCTCATCCGAAGGAATAGACAGCTGTCCTTGTCAGGCCCACCGTTCTGCACCACTGACAAGGGGAATTCTTACTGAACAACTTTTCGACTAGTGTAATACTATGGTCATTGCGACCATATCGTATCTTTAACTAATTATATGGTTCACACGTACTTAATGAAGTGAATGATGTATTTATATATATATATATATATATATACATGTATATAAAAAAAACAGTGATATCCATCAAATTTTACCTTGTTTATGACATGTGTTTGGTAGACCAAATAAGGTAATGGTCAACCGCCACCCTCTCGGTCTCTGGAGAATGGGGATGTTGATTCCATATTTGGGAAGGAAATTAACGTCAAGGTCAGTCTATGACGTAGGGAAATTAGGGGGTTATAAAAGAGGGCGTTGAGCGAAATTCATCAGAGCTCACCCAGATATTCCGAGCAGCTATTATCTATTCTTTATTGAGAACGAGGAACTCCGAAGCCAAACAGTTTAACAATAAAGTTGTAGAAACGATCGAACTAACCTGTAGTTTTATTTACGATCACAAAGGAACCACACAACAAGGAAGTCCGACATTACTACACTAGGTGTCTCTAGTCAATATTAATCAATAACATAAATTAAATCGTATGTTAGTCTCGAAATGAACTAGTTTGTGACAAGCTCTCTCTTGTAGTTCTGATACACAATGAGGTCTAAAAGTTAACCAGTCCGAAAATAACCTTGTTTGTGTCGAGTGGCCGTTAAAACCCACCTCTCTCTCTCTCTCTCTCTCGCTCCCTCTCTCTCTCTCTCCAGAACTAATATTAGTTATTGATTTATCGCTACAGGATCTAGCCGAAGAAGAGGGTATTGAGTGTATGCCGACCTTTATACTGTATAAAGACAATAGCAAGGTCAGTAATATTACGTTACTGGTCTCAGACAGGCATGGTGTGTGGCAACTATCTTTGCAAATAGAATTAGATGACTGCGAAATGCAAACATGGCTGATATAGCATAAGTGGAACGTCGGGTGAACCATTTTTGCAGTCAAAACAAGTTTTGCAGTAATTTACGCTTTTTTTCATTTTCATTATCACCATGATCAATTTTGTCACCCTAATGATTGTCAGAATCATTATTGACGTATTTATCAATCACGTTATCATCAGCAACACCATTTTATTGCAAATATATGGTTCACATCTCAAAATCAGAGATCCGATGTATCATACAAACCTACTGTAATTACGTTCATGTACTGTACTGACCTACTGTAATAACGTTACATCATACCGACCTACTGTAATAACGTTACATCATACTGACCTACTGTAATGTTACATCATACAAACCTACTGCAATAACGTTCATGTACCGTACTGACCTACTGTAAAAATGTTACATCATACCGACCTACTGTAATAACCTTACATCATACCGTCCTACTGTAATAACCTTACAACATATTGACCTACTGTAATAACGTTACATCATACAGACCTACTGCTGTGGAATATTCACAAGAATTATATACAAACCTGATTGGTTGGAGATATAGGACACAGCTCACCAATTATTTCTACTTCGTCATCCACGAAGTAAGGGCCAAAGTTATTTTAGTCTTTCCCTCCCTTTTCCCCTTTCTCTCTTTTGCGTGTCGATCTTTGTTGGCTTTTTAGTGTTGAATCGAAGTAAAGGGTTTTCAGACAGGTTCCGGTGAATACGAGAGTTTGAAAGAGGTTGGTTAGGTTGAAATGTAGGGCGGTTGGCACATGTTGCTCCATCTGTGGTAGAAAGCGTTCAACTCCACGACAATTTCGGAAAAGGTAAGAGCCGATGTAAGAGACGAGAATTAACATTAAAGTCAATGGGGAAAGAATTGGAAATCTGTGGCTATATCAGGGCACTTGGGGTGGGGTCGGGAATTATCGACCAGAGTTATCTACCCCTTCCCCTACCTCTCGTGGCGGCCAGATAATAGATTCAGCTATTTGGTTATATTTTCAGATCAGTGTGATGCCCGGTGCCAATAAAGAGAAACTGAAACAGCTTATAGATGAAAATAAGTAGATGAATAAGCCATATATAGGGTGTTAATTTGAATGTGAAACGTGTAAATGGCTTCATTTGATAAGGAATTTATAAATGTCGTGACTTTGGTTTTGTCAATTTTGTCGACCTGGATGCACATATCTTCGTTTAAAATGTATCAAAATGTTGTGACTTTGTTTTTGTTCATTTTGTCGGTCTGGATAAGGAAGACAGTTGGGGTCAATAAATTGAAAAAAAAATTTGATTACTAAAAACGGTATATGGTGACCCTGAAATTACGAGTTTGTTTGACTGACCCTAATTGTCTTCCGTTTCGATGTACAGTTACAGGATAACATAATTAGTCGGGTTATCCATACAATATCGGTCGTCATACATAGTCGTTAGAATGTACATGTATTGTATATGTTCATTGTTCACTAATAAAATAGATCATGAAAATAAATTGAAAATATTGACAGTTATTTAATGTTTTTAGAGAGGTTTGAATCAAATTCTGCTGTTGAAAATATTGATCACATTTCTGAGACCAGTGACAGTGATTATCATATGTTACAAACATCCAGACTTTTTCTCACGGCAACGTTTGATATTTTAGGGTGATTATTCCACATAACAACCGTCTCTATAGTCATGAGGAGAGAGAGAGAGAAATGGAGTTTAACGTCCACGCGACACAGACTAGGTCATTTCGGGACTAACATACGGATTAATTTTATTTCAATAATTTGTTGGAGGAAACCGGAGGACCTGGAGAAAACCCACGTGGTTGGACAGGCAACCCTACTTCTTGTCACGTACAACCGGGGATTCGAAACCACGCCAGTTGACTCAATGACATGCCTTATGATACAGCGTATAGTCATTAGTGGTTAATATTGAGGTTGATAATTGGCGATAATCATTATCGATGAGTAAGCCAGATTTATTTCCACGGTTTTTATTTGAAATGAAACCTGGAAATAATTTTCTTTTATATCGAATAAAAACCTTAATAGTGGTTGCTATATACTACTTACAGGCCATAATAATGACTTACACTCAAGGGTTGTTCCCCTTTAGCAAATGGACGTCAACTCTCAGTGGCGGAGACGCTTTGTTAGGGATTGGGGGCGGGCGGAGGGGGTTATGCTCTAAGATAAAATATGAAAGAGTAGGGCTGCCAATGGTGATTTGTGACACATCTGGAACCGAATACAACATTCAATTGAATCAACTACACCAGCACACCTCATCTCCCAAACAGAGTTGTCTTCCCTTGCAGTTCGCACTAACCTCTGCTAACGGCTCATTTGACTATGCCACCAAAATTCTTTTTTTCTATAGACAATGATAAACAATACGATAGAAACCAAATAAATGATGGGGGGGTTGGATGGCTGAATGGTTAGCGTGCGCGCGCTGTATCATAAAGACTGTCATTGAGTCGACTGGTGTGGTTTCGAATCCCCTGTTGTACGTGACAAGGAGTAGGGTCGCCTGTCCAACCTCGTGGGTTTTCTCCGGGTCCTCCGGTTTCCTCCCACTGCTAAAGACTCCTACGCGCAAGCGAATTATTGAAATAGCATTAAACCATATGTTAGTCCAGAAATGACCTAGTTTGTGTCGAGTGGACGTTAAACCCCATTTCTCTCTCTCTCCAAATAAATGATAATATTTTCTTCTATTACTATAATAAAATAGAAATGGGGTCATATTTATCGTAGAATAATAAAGTATTTACAAATATACAGGGAATTCTTCCCCAAACATATGGGGTTAAAGGGTCGTAAATACGAATCGCGCATGTCATCGTGCGAAATTTAGAATATACACGTGGATCTATTTACTTTTATAAGGCCTAATACATTTACACACGAAACGTGCAAATTGATGACATTTTCTCCTAAAACTGACTGAGTGTTTATAACGCCAAGAAAGGAACTATTCTGATAGACGTCATTTTCATCATGTAATTTTCTGCTGTGCCCCCCCCCCCCCTCTCCTTGTAACCTGTCAGCGGTGCAGGACAGGCGGCCTGGCAAGAGACAATGTATAGTCGTTCGTATGGTACTAATATCCGAGATCACGTCTGCTTATTGACGCGATCTCGGATATTATTAGTACCCGGACAAAACCCACGAGGTTGGGCAGTCGATCCTGCTCCTTGTCGCGTACAAACTTGGGATCTAAACCACGCCATTTGACTCAATGACAGACGTTGTAGTCAAACACGCATGCGTTAGACCACTCGGCCATACGGTGAGCTATAAGGGAAATTTTGATCGGACAGCAGCACTACGGTCTACTCTTATATCGAATTCAGAAATTTAAAACTAATAACTTTTGAAGGTTTTTATTAAAAGAAGAATTTATTATTCAAAATTAATAAAAATAAAACTTTTGAAATTCAACATCAAACCCTTAAAATGATTTCATATTTTAAGCCGTGGAAAAAAAGCGGTTGTCATGCAAGATACGCCCACATATTGCAAGAGATGGACTGAGAACAAGCTAAAAAGCGATTTTTCGTACAATCAGGAGCCATAATCGAGGAGGTTACGATCCAGCATGGGACAATATCAAAAGGAACCGAGATCTTTGGGATACAAACATATGCTTTAGGTTTCATCAAGTTAAATAAGCGATTTTTTTTGTACAATCAGGAGCCATAATCCACGAGGTAAAAAGAAGTGAGATCTTTGAGATATATTTAAAATTTCATAAAAATCGGATAACAAAAGAGATCTCCACGAGGTCCACAACCTTGGTATTACATACTTTTACACTATGTGCGGACGAGGAGCGATCATGTTGTCGGGCAGTTTCGGTCCGATTTTCACGAAATTCGAACCCAATCGTCATCAGGAAGTAACGGTGATATATATATACGTCCTCATCAAAATGAAAGTGTATAAAAATAATTTGGTTCTCAGAAAATGTTTTCTAAAAATCTGATTCGGTTTTTATTTTGTGTTTATTTTATCAAAAGATCAATACTGGACTAAATGACTTCTCCTAAACATCACAATTTCAATACCTCGTTTATAGCAATGTATGATTATCAGGTATCATTTGTCTCATGTTGATTATACCAATGTTATGATTATCCAGTATCATTTATCTCATGTTGATTATATCAATGTATGATTATCCAGTATCATTAAACTCATGTTGTTTATACCAATGTACGATTATCCAGTATCATTTATCTCATGTTGTTTATAGCAATGTATGATTATCCAGTATCATTTATCTCATGTTGTTTATAGCAATGTATGATTATCCAGTATCATTTATCTCATGTTGTTTATAGCAATGAATGATTATCCAGTATCATTTATCTCATGTTGCCTATACCAATGAATGATTATCCAGTATCATTTATCTCATGTTGCCTATACCAATGTACAATTATCCAGTATCATTTATCTCATGTTGTTTATACCAATGTATGATTATCCAGTATCATTTTTATTATCAATAACATTTATCAGGGCTGCATATTTCATTGAGTCTACAGTGCAATTCCGGATTCATTCAAATTTTATTTACAGAGTTACTTCCTGTAACCGGGGGTAAAAACATTTACATTATTAATGAGACTTTTTTTATATAGAGTTATTTCCAGTAAAAAAAACATTTAAGTGCGGTAATTAATGAGACTTGTTTTAAAAATAAAAACGGGTCATGCAGCCCTATTTAAGTGACGTAGGATTATCGAAGAACCAGAACGTTTTTGGGTTTTTTGTATATGACCTTATATTTTTAAATCTGACAGAATAAAAATTGATGGAAATGGGAATAATTTAAGAATTTCTTTCATGATTGCAATTTAATAGGTAAATCTACCAATTGAGTGTCTTTATTTTGGCTTCAAATGTTATATCAACTATTAATTAGACATTTTTATTAAACATTCATTATGCAAGAGCTAAATCTGTCTATTGCAGGTCTTTCTTTAGGCCTAAAATGTTATCTAAATTATTAATTAGACATTAATTAACCTATCCAGACCATAATCAACTCTAAATGTCATCGCTAGCCTGCAATCTTTAGTGGATTATGAGCCGATTTACTGCATAAATTTACTTCACGATTTAACGATTAAATGGATAATAGATGATCGAGGCTAGGCGGAAATTTCAATCGCTTAGTTCTCGTTTCATAGTGGATCAATTTGAATGAAATTTTCAGCAAATTTCCTTTAATTTATCTAGTTTTTAACTATTATAGTGAGAACTGCCAACTCGTTATCGAATCTCCCATAATGTATCTTTAACATGATACGACCATAAACAACTTTCTAGACCAACGTATGACTCCGATTTTAAGTGGAACGTTTCGGATATTTAATTATTTAATTTAACAAGAGCATCGGTACCGCTGCTGCAATATACGTCCACATTCGTGGGAGTCGGGGGATGCACCAAAATAAATAATTGCTGTCTTTACGGTATAAATATGCAAAGTACCAAGATGATCCATTCAGAATTGCAGTCTGTAGACGATTAACACAAAAATGGGCGTGGCTTGACCCCCATGGGTTGGATATAGAACAATACAAATAGGTACAAATCTATGATGGATCATGCCGAATTTGATGCAAATCTGTTAATAATTGCAACCTGTAGATTATTTACAGACAAAATATTAACAAAAAGTGGGCGTGGCACCGCCCAAGTGGGATGAATCATACACCAAAATCAATAGTTTTAGGGTATACGGAATAAGTATACGAAATTCCAAGAAAATCCATTCAGAATTAAGTATATGCATATAATTAATGCATATATCAAGTTCCAAGATGATCCATTCAGAATTGCGGCCTGTATACGATAAACACAAAAATTGGCCGTGGCTCTACCCCTGGGGATTGGGACATGCAACAGAATCAATAGTTGCCATCCTTAGGCTATAAGGAATATATATACTAAGTTTCAAGACGATCCGTTAGAATTGTTGCCCGTAAGCAACACACAGAGACAAAATGGGTGTGGCTCTGTCCCTGGGGGTTGGGCATTCATCAAGAACAATTGATCATCCTTAGGGTATAGAGAATAGGTATTCAAAGTTTCAAAAGGATCTGTCAAAATTGAGGCATGTAGGCAACACACAGACACCAAAATTGGGTGTGGCTCTGTCCCAGGGGGTCGATCGTGCAACAAAAAATAATTGAGGTCATCCTTAGGGTATAAGGAATAAGTATGAAAAGTTTTCAAGATGATCCTTTAAGTATGGCGGTCTGTGAGTGACAAACAGACACACAAAGAGAAAATAGGCGTGGCTCTGTCCCTGGAGGTTTGACATGCACCACAGGCAATAGGGATGATCCTTATGGTATAAGGAATAAGTGTGCGAAGTTTCAAGATGATCCCTTAAGCAATGGGGCCTGTAGACGACAAACAAATACAAAAATTGGGCGTGGCTTGCTTAGCCAATGGGGGTTGGGCATGCACCAAAAACAATAAGGATCATTCTTAGGGTATAAGGAATAAGTATGCAACGTTTCAAGACAATGCATTGAGAATTGCGGCCTGTAGACGACCCATAGACACACACATACATACATACATACACACATAGAGAGGGGCGACTACACAATACGTCCAAATTATGAATGTGGATGTATAAAAATGGAGAAGCGATGAGATTTAACGGCCACTCGACACAAACTAGGTTATTTTGGGACTGACATATGTTTCAATTCCATTTCACTACTTCGCTTGCGCCTAGTAGTGGGAGCCGGAAACCTTGGAGAAAACCTGCGAGGTTCGACAGGCGACCCTACTTCTTGTCATGTACAAGGGGAGAATCGAAACCACACCACTTGGCTAAATGACAGACCTTTTGATCTAAAGCACATGAGTTACCACCCTTGCACCTCCCAAAAATTTAAAGAGAGAGAGAGAGAGAGAGAGAGAAATGGGGTTTAAAGTCCACCCAACACAAACTAGGTCATTTCGGGACTAACATATGATTTGTTTTTTTTATTTCAATAATTCGCTTGCTCATTACTTCGCTCAGGCTAATGTGTGTGTGTGTGAGAGAGAGAGAGAGAGAGAGAGAGAGAGAGAGAGAGAGAAATGGGGTTTAACGTCCACTCGACACAAACTAGGCCATTTCGGGACTAACACATGGTGCAATTTCTATCAATATTGGGCTTGCGCGTGGGGGTTTTTAGCAGTGGGAGGAAACCGGAGGACCCGGAGAAAACCCACGAGGTTGGACAGGCGACCCTACTCCTTGTCACGTACAACCGGAGATTCGAAACCACGCCAGTTGACTCAATGACAGGCCGTATGACATACAGCACGCACGTGCTAACCATTCGGCCACCCCCCTCCCCCAAATTTAAAGGAATATTTATCTTTAACCATAAAACATACAATATTAGACATCCATCATATCAATATTACCCTTTTTCCGCCTTTTATAATAATAAATGTTGGCATTGCTTCTATTTCATACCTTTCTGATAATTCCTGTAATCAAAATATTCATTAAAATTAGTTTATCAAAGGGTTTGGGGGGGGGGGGCTACTTGTTAGATTTCATGCTCACCGATTTGAATGAAAGTGGAATTTCTAAAAGGAATATTGGTCCAAAAATGGTTTAATTCCTTTATGTGACATGGATTGAAAATTTCTCAACATTCGAGAGACGGTATACATGGGATATGGTCAAAATGATATGGTGAACAGCCAGTCAGCGGACTCTCTTTGACTGACATCCCATATATATCCCTTATATTTAGACTGCCATCCCATATATATCCCTTATATATAGACTGCCATCTATTTAGACTGCCATCCTATATATATCCCTTATATTTAGACTGCCATCCTATATATATCCATTATATTTAGACTGCCATCCTATATATATCCCTTATATTTAGACTGCCATCCCATATATATCCCTTATATTTAGACTGCCATCCCATATATTTAGACTGCCATCCCATATATTCCATATATTTAGACTTACAACCCATTAGACTGATATTCCAATTATTTAGACTGACAACCCATTAGACGGACATCCCATCTATTTAGACTTACAGCTCGTATATTTAGACTGACAACCCATTAGACTGATATCCCATATATTTAGACTGACATCCCATATATTTAGACTGACATCTCATATATTTAGACTGACAACCCATTAGACTGACATCCCATATATTTAGAGTGAAAACCCTTTAGACTTACATCTACCTCATCAACATCAACTTTTAAAGCAATAAACTTTCCTTCCATATCACTGGCTATCTTCTGAAAAGAAAAAAAAATATTGAACATGTAACCTCCAATTTAGCGACCCAATGTCTTACTCACAGAAATGAAGTTTACTGTCCTACTTTTCTGCACCGACTGGGATAATGAAGACTGGTGCCACGTAGTGTGCTATGAAGTAATTTCTTCTCGACCAACACAGGTTAGCGAGCCAACGTCTTACTCACTGAACCACTGCGGCTCCCTGACACAATGACAGTTGACCCTATAATCTAGAAAGTTCACTTACTGCAAATATTGGTCCGATGAATTTACAGGGTGGACACCATGATGCAGTAAAATCAACACAGATGATTTTATCCCCCGCCTCTTTTAATATAGCATCAAATGTTTCCTAAAAATAAACATAAACTCTTGAGAGAGAAAGAGAGAGAGGGAGAGAGAGATAGAGAGACAGGGGGGGGGGGGTAGAGAGGGAGGGAAAGATATTATCATTAGCAAACTTGATACGGAGCCGGAAGCATAGCTTATTCATATACGAAGGATAACGTTTCGATAGATGCGACACAGAGACACCCATTTGCACTGAGCGATCTATCCCAATGAGCATGTACTTAACTTCCATTTGAATAATTAGCTTCCATTTGGATATCATCCGATGTCAAAGTATGTGATTAGTTCAATTGTCGAAGAAAGAACTTTTTTATTCGTTGGAATAATTAATTGTACAATGGATTTTATTTAGTCATTTATTTATTTAAACATACATTATGCAAGAGCTAAATCTGCCTATTGCAGGTCTTTCTTTAGGCCTGAAATGTTACATAAACTATTAATTAGACCTTTATTAACATGAAAAGTTCATAATCAACTCTCGATGGCATCTTATCTGTCCAATTCTCATTGGATTTGAATCCGATCTGCTGTTTAACGTCCGTTGACAATTTAACGCAAAATTGGATAATCGTGACAGCGGTAACAAAGACAGTCGAGGCTACAGGGATTTTAAAATAAGGATTTCTCAGCTTACAGATAAGCAATCTGACTGACACTTTCAGCATAATCCATTTACATTATCTAGTTTTAAACTATATTATAGTGAGAACTGCCAGATCTTTATCTAATCACAGGGGGGTTGGATGGCCGAATGGTTAGCGCGAGCGCGCTGTGTCATAAGGACTTTCATTGAGTCAACTGGCGTGGTTTCGATTCCCCGGTTGTACGTGACAAAGAGTAGAGTCGCCTGTCCAACCTCGTGGGTTTTCTCCGGGTCCTCCGGTTTCCCCCCACTGCTAAAGACCCCTACGCGCAAGCGAATTATTGGAATAAAATTGAACCATGTGTTAGTCCCGAAATAACCTAGTTTGTGTCGAGTGGACGTTAAACTCTCTCTCTCTCTCTCTCTCCCTCTCTCTCTCTCTCTCTCTCTCTCCCCCTCTCTCTCTCTCTCCCTCTCTCTCTCTCTCTCTCTCTCTCCCTCTCTCTCTCCCCCCCTCTCTCTCTCTCCCTCCCTCTCTCTCCCTCTCTCTCTCCCCCCCTCTCTCTCTCTCTCTCCCTCTCTCTTTCTCTTATCTAATCACCCATAATGTCTCTTTAAGTTTTTAATAACCATAACTAAGTGCAAGATAACCGCGTCACAAAAAACATTTACACAAAACAAACCTGCAGACAGGACAAAGTTTTTTTTAGTAGGCTATTAGTAGGCTACTACAGCCCTCGAAAATAAAAATCGCATTATTGTTATTTTTGAGGACTTATTCACTAGCCTATAGTTATGTTATTCGAGAAACCGCCATGTGAATATAAATACCTTAACACACTTGATATTGAAACAGGAAGTTTTTGACTACGACGAGGTATATTATCAACCCGTCAACCCAGGCTATTCTACATTGTTTGTTAGTTTTACTATTGTACCCGCCATAGTGGGTAGTTTACCAAGTAAAATAACAAAGAAATGTCGCTATTGGACAGGCGGCCCTGCTCCTTGTCACGTACAACAGGTCACCCTGCTCCTTGTCACGTACAAACAGGGGGTCGAAACCACGCCACTTGACTCATTGACAGACATTGTAGTCTAATGCACATGCATTAAACTGCGATCTCCATAGGTTTGTCTTCTATAAGGCTATTGTGTGTGGGGTTGTTCTCCTGCACTTACGGTTAAAACTGAATCGATGCATTATCGAAAAGGAAGGCGTTTAAGGATGCATATATGGAAGATTTAGATAAAGAGCTGGGCCCGATTCCTAGAAAGTTCTTAAGCACGTTCCTGTGCTTAGATTTTAAGTAGACTTTGCATTTAAGTAAACTTTAACCTTATTTTGTGTTCCCTGAAAATTCTTAAGAATTTTTAAGGAACCGGGCCCTTGTGTTTTTGCTATAATAGTTCAATAATTACAAATGCGTATATTGAAAATTTCATTCAAATTACTTTATTCTGAGCGAAGTTATCACCGTTAGAGGTTTTAACAAGGCATGGTATAGATAGTTTAAAATCGTGACACTTGTTATTCGAGACTTAGCCTCGATTCGCCATTTTTAATCAAATGATTAAATGGCGACCTTTTTTTTAGATTAACCTCTTACATAATGCACCTTTAAGAAATGAAATGGGGTTTAACGTCCTACTGTTCTGCTCCTAAACTGGGCTAATGAAGACTGCCTACTCTTATATCGAATACCAACTGCCAATGGATCTTTTACGTGCACGCCAATGTGTACACGGGACCTCGGTTTTTCGTCCCTTCCGAATGACTAGACAGCTGTCCTTGTCAGGCCCTCCGTTCTGCATCACTGACAAGGGGAAACCACGCTGGAAAATCTAGATGAACTTTCTCGGCCAATAATGGCTTCATATTATGACAAATCAACAATTGTACGGTACTCATTCAGTCATTCCAGTGTCATACCCGGTGGCGAGGGGCCGTGGTCACATTGACTTCTTTTTTGCTTCTTTTAGAGAGGATAGTACTTTAGGGCCCCATTTATTCCTAAACTTTCTTGAACAGCCGCCATTGCTGAATTGTTAAATACTTTTAATAGATCATCAAATCAAATTACTAAATGTCTTGAAGATAAATTCAATGCTCTTCAGATAGTAAGAATATTCTATCGGTTTAAAATAGTATCAAAGCACTGGACCGTAGCTGCAATTGGTCAAAAACCAAACACCGCCATGTCCCGCCTTCGGCTAAGCACACATTGCCTTGAAATAGAGAGTGGGCGGTAAGGAATATATACTATTCAAAAAAAGTAGGGGATATTTGATTTTGGGGGCATAATACTAAAATATGCAAATGACTACGAAAAAAGTCACTATAGAACCTAACAGAAGAAACATTTCCAGTTACATGTAACGCCCAAACGCACCAATAGCTACCGCATGGAATGCAGGTGATGCTTGGGATCATCATGGGGGTCCAACCCAAGATTTGCACGACTCTGACTTTGAATGTTACAGTCATTGTGGCATTGAATTCCAGGGTGGAAACATCAGTTTAATTGTTTTAGTGACCAGAAAACAAATTTTGATATGCGTCGGCTTACCCAAAATGAAAGGTTACGTGCCCTTGGCATGCTACAGATCGGCACAACACAGGCGGTTGTGGCGCGGACGATGAATGTTTCTCAGTCTGTCATAAGCAGGCTATGGTCCAGATACCGTGATACACAATCTGTACAGGACAGACCACGCTCAGGTCGACCAAGGGCGACAACTCAAGCCCAGGATCGATTTATCCGTACCTTGGCCTTGAGAAATCGTGTCATCACAGCAAATCAGATCAGCGCTCGTCTTCAAACAGACACTGGTGTGAGAGTGAGTGGCCAGACGATTCGGAATCGACTGCATAGGGGTCACCTTCGCGCCCGACGTCCTCGCGTGATCCCTTGTTTGAGAGATCGTCACATTCAGGCAAGACGTCGTTAGTGTAGGGATCGTCAACACTGGGATAATCGACGCTGGAGCAATGTGATGTTTTCAGATGAGTCAAGGTTCACTGTTGATTTTTTGGACAGACGTAGGAGGGTGTGGCGTCGTCGAAACGAGTGCTTCCAAGACGTTAACGTCATCAGACATGATCGATTTGGGGGTGGTTCTGTTATGGTGTGGGGAGGCATCACTGTTGCTGGAAGAACGGCTTTACATGTTGTTGCAGGGCGTGTTACAGGCCAGTACTACCGGGACAACATCTTGGCAGTCCATGTTGTGCCGTTCGCACGACGTCATGGCCGCCGTTTCATCTTCCAGGATGACAACGCAAGATGTCACAGGGCCAGGATCGTTACAGGTTACCTCCAACAACAGAACATCACCACATTACCTTGGCCAGCACTGAGTCCCGACCTCTCCCCCATCGAGCATGTCTGGGACATGCTTGGACAGAGGTTACGTCAACGTCAACAACGTCCTGCCAATGTCCAAGAACTTGCTGCTGCGTTGCAACAGGAATGGGACAATCTGGACCAAAATGACCTTTGACGTCTCATTAGGAGTATGCCACGTCGGATCAATGCTTGTTTGGCAAACAGAGGAGGATTTACCCGTTACTGACTTGGTTGTGATGCTGTGGTAACTTTGCTGTTTGACCCCGGGTATCATTTTACCCTTATAATGGTCAGTCTGTGCCTTACTTAGTCTAACGATCATTTGGAATAAATCGATGAATGTGAACTTCATTTCATTTTGTCATTTGTTTCTTCGTCAGTTTCATTAGGTGACTTTAATAACACTTAAAAATCAAATATCCCCTACTTTTTTTGAATAGTATATCTGCACATCTGCGGTATTGCACGAGCTGCCCTCAACAGCATGTTGAAAATGTGCAACAACTATGAAGAACGCTGCAAGACAGACAGAGAGAGAGAGAGAGAGAGAGAGAGAGAGGGGGGGAGAGACAGAGAGGGGGGGGGGTAAGGTCCACTCGACAAAACTATGTCATTTCGGGACTAACATATGGTTCAATTTTATTTCAATAATTCGCTTGCGCGTAGGGTCTTTAACTGGAGCATCAGGAGAAAACCCTTGAGGTTGGACAGGCGACCCTACTCCTTGTCATGTACAAGTGGGGAATCGAAACCACGCCAGTTGACTCAATGACAGACCTTATGATACAATACGCACGCGCTAACCATTCGGCCACCCACCCCGCTTCATGTATCATTGACTGTTGAGCATCAGTAGAGTCACCTCCCTTCATGACCAAATTGTAATTAAGAGTGTATCCGCGAGAAGACCATGCAAAAATCGCAAAAAGTGCTAAGATGGGGGGTCGGAAGTTTTTGATCAAATTTATGGTATGACACCCCCTAGGGGCAAGAGGTAACATGCTGAAGTGGTTACAGTCTGATGTCGCGCTAAAGGACTGTACGGGAATTATTCATTTTATGGGTAAAATTGCGGTTTTCACATGTGTATTTATCACCTTTTTTAAGCACAGACTGCATTCTATGGTGGAATAGCAACCTTCTAATTTTGACCCTGTCTGATAAAGCGGGTGGTCAACTTCTACCCCAGCACTAATTTGAAAAAAAACCAAATCAGTACATACTAATTTTGTGTGGACTTGTTTTAGGGTACCATATTCACATTGTCCTTATAGTGCAGAAAAAGATACACTGTAACTTTTTCTTTCATGGTCGCAAGTAGAATTTCTTTGGGTGGTTTTGAAGTGCTAAGCACATAGTATCCATAGGTGTAAAAAAAATGACCGGAATGCAACATACTTAAAATATACAGATAATTGAAAAGTGTTAAAAAAAGCTTTTGTGATACATTTTTTTGCGAATTTAATTAGAGAAATAAAATTTTTGACTTTTATACGTTTTCATCATATCCATAGCCATTATTTGTACCATGTTGTACTCTATATAAGTGTGTATTTGTATATTGTATATTTGGTATTGTCGTATTGTACCTTTAACATATTTGTTGTATTGTCTCTTTAAGATTTCATTTTCAAACAAGTTACCGAAAATGGCTACAAAATGTTTAATTTCAGAGCATGTTTCCACTATTCATTTTGGGACACATCCACTGATTTCTACAATACAGAAATGTGGAAGCTTAAATATTAACGGCAACGAAGCCTAATTGCGTCGAAGTGGGTGACATTGAACAGTGTAGTATGGTAGCTACAGCTCTCGGGCACCGTCAGCTGCACCTTCGGGCCGGATTTAGAATAAGAGAGGCCCTAGGCAAACCCCCTGAACAGGGCCCACGACATGGACATTGGGGCCCTGGGACAAGCAACTCGGTGAGAGGGTGGGTCGGGGGAAGTCATGCGGTTGGTGGTTCGAATCTTACTTTTAGGTGAATTTTTCATTTTCGTTGGATTATTTTATTAAAAATAATGTCTATTTGAGAGTAATGGATATGTTTGTTAAGATTGAGTACGTCGAAACTCCAACGGAAGGTCGTGGACAACTGCAGAAGTCAATTCCCGTTGACGCCAGATGAGCCATGAACAATTACAGGCCTTTGAAAGTATTTTTTTTCAAGATATTTTTATAAAACAGATACTAATGTATTTTAGGGCTGGTAGTAAACACCATATGAATGAAAAGGAAAATAAATTGTTAGGTTTTTTTATCTACTACGGTTAATTATCTCCAAAATAGGGAAATTACAGGTTAATTTCATGGGTTATTGTTTCCTTTACCTAGTTTTTGTCAAGTCGATTCCGGTCATTTTTATTTTTTGTATCAAATGTTGGGAGGTTGCTTGTTCACGTGAGCATAAATTTTTTAAACCCATCCCATGAAAGAAGTAGCTATAGGGCGTCAAACTTTGGGTGACGAAAAATGGGGAATTTAGACAGACTTTGATATCCAGTCCGTATACAGATCTCGTTCGCCAGAATCGTCTGAAGTTAATATTGTTGTAACAGCACTGAGTCTTCGATAAACTATCTGAGTTTGGTCATTCTGCTACGTATAGTAAAGGTGTAAGGACTTGCCAAAGTTGGTATTTGAGAAAAGACAGATTTTGGCAATTTCACCATATGAAAAATGTTTTTTCAATTTTCTCATACAGGAATCTAATATTGCACATTTATGTGTTTTGGGACTATCCCAACTTATAAACCAATTTTGGTCAAAATCTGTGATTGAAGCCTTAGCACCTTCTGCATGGTTTTCTCGTGGACACGCTCTTAAAAATTCTAATCATACTCACAACACTTTCGACTACCTTCACCATTTTTGATTTCCACTATTATGACTTATGACAACAACAATTTAACAGTGTGACCCGGTAATGTTTCTCTGGATTAAAACGCGTGTCTTTATAACATAAACAAACAAACGCCCTCTATCGGTAGACAAAAAGTTTCCCGAAGCGACTTTTCTTTTGAGACTAGGCCTATGTTGACATCCATAGGCGTACGGGTTCGATGAATGTTTGTGGGGGGTGGGGCAGAACCTGAAATTCCCGAAACAATTTCCGCGGAGCTTGCCGTATAGTAGGACCCCCCTCCCCCTACCACCACCATGGGCGTAAATGTGGGTGTGTGTGTGGGGGGGGGGGGGTACACCCCCCAGGAAAAAAATAGTCGGTCGCAAAATCAGTGCAGTCGGTCGCAAAATAAGAGCAGTCGGTATCAAAATAAGTGCTCACTGTACACGTCAAGCTACTCACGCAAAACTTTAGTATAAAATAACCTTGTCAACTTATCATGTTTGAAAAAATGTTGTGTTTCACTCTTATTCTGTTGTGAGTATGTAAGTCTTAAGAACAAAATTTCCCCCAGGGAGAAAAATAGTCGGTCTCAAAATAAGTGCAGTCACTGCAGTCGGTCTCAAAATTATGCATCGCCGTCTTAATGAATTAATGAGGTAAACAAATAATGCAAGAATAGATCTCAAATACTAGTCGGTCGCAAAATCAGTGCAGTCGGTCGTAAGATATGAGCAGTCGGTATCAAAATAAGTGCTCACTGCACACGTCACTCTACTCACGCAAAACTTTAGTATAAAATAACCTTGTCGACTTATCATGTTTGAAAAAAATGTTTTTCACCCCATGGCAAAAAAATAGCCGGTTTCAAAAAGAAGTGCTCACCGCAGTCGGTCTCAGACTAAATGAATTAATGGGGTGTTTTCTGACCATCAGAATTCTGCAAAATCTCTCCCCAAAGTCCAGGGCATTTCAGAGACCAAGTAAGCGCCCCATTAAGGTAAAGTGCCCTCAGACCCAGTCCTCAAAAATTAAAAGCTCAGTTACATATCGGCGCTCAATTCCATTATGCCATCATTCTTCAACTCCTTTTCTGTCTTATACTATCTCATCACTATCATATTCACAGTTACAGTGAATCGCCCAGTTAGTAGTACCACTAGTGAGTAAGTCGTGGGTCAAAAGACTGTAGAATTGTTAGTTCTACTCTCACAAAACAGGCGACATTGACAGATAGGCCTCAAGATTCTGTCCCATTTCCTATCCTCTCGTTAACGAGAATTTGGATCTATTTGCCATGACATTGACTAAAATTGTCAGGCCCAGTCCCAAAAATTAAAAGCTCGGTTACACATCTGAAATTTTGTCGCGCCTGCGGCGCTCGATTCCATTATAACATCATTCTTCCAGTCCTCTGTTGTCTTATACTGTCTCAGCACTTTCATATTCACGGTTATACTGAACTGCCTAGTTATGTTAGTAGTACCACTGGCACTGTCGTGTGGGTCGTGAGGCGTCAGACTAAACAAAAGTTCTGTCAACTCTTGCAAAACAGGCGGAATTGACAAGGGCAGATCTCGGGATTCTGTCTAATTGACTCACATTTCTGGTCCTCTCGTCCACAAGAATTTCTCCCAGCAATCACCTCAAATGCCAAGATATTGACTCAATTTTTCAAAATTTTCTCAGGTTGCTCAGTGTTATAGGCACAATCATATATGACATAAACTTTATGTCAACTTAAATAAAACTGCTTTCCAGCGAGACAACGATCGGCAAACAACTATATAATTATACAATACCATATATGTTCTACCGGGACGCTTAATATTATAGCCTGTATTTTGTTGACATTCATTGTGGGGTGGGGTTGTGGCTGGGGTGGCGCCCTAAATTTGGACCTCCCCCACCCCTATCTAGATCCGCTACTGCACATGGCCCCTACAAAACTCGCACCTGTGGTGCTCGGCACCTGACTGCGTCACTCGTACTAGGGGTATGGGCATCAGTCGGTCGCATTTTGGCTAAACACCCCCCCCCCCCAAACAAAATCGTTATGTACGCCCCTGACCACCACCTACCCCCAAAAGAAAATTGGGAAAATTTGATGGCCGCAAACGCGTTTTCCTGGCGCGAATCGTGATAGTGGGAACCTAGTGTTTAGACTTTTGTATTAAGATCTTCTATTTCTATGTAACGATTGTAACACCTCACTGGTTTGCACGAATAACATGAATAGTCAGACCTTTTGTGCTCCTTAACGCCGTCACATGTGTAAAAATAAAATAGATATTTGAATACGTATGCCATTAATAATATTTAATATAAAGAAGACGGTGTGTGAAATTGTATACGTATGTATAACATCAGCGATAAATAAATGCATTATTTATACATTTGGATTATGACGTGACTTTTAAATTTGTTAATAACCCGAAGCCTTTTATAAAGGGTGTTTCACGTTTCACCGGTGTCCGCTTATCAAGATAAACTACCTAGAAATATCAGATAAATCTATACATAAAATGGTCCAGCGATGCATAGGCCAGAGGCGGATTCAAGGGGGGGGGGGCGCCTCGACAGTGCCCTTTTTTACTGCTGAAAGTGCCTTTTCTCAGACCCAAATATGTCCGTTCCCAACCCGTTGCAGGGATCCCAAATGACTCAAACCATCGACTCAAACACACCAGTCTGGTCTAATTAATGCTTCCACTTTCAAACGAATTCTTGTTGTTTAGCTGACGGTGCCCTAATCCTAAAGAGTGACTATAGACAGACATCTTGTGGAATCGGCGGCGTATACACTCATGTCCATCACCGACGCGCATGAGTGCAACTTGATGTAGCACTGTTTCATGCGTGGACAGTGGACAGTACACAGTACAAGTTAAAAGGCTTAAATAGTGAAGTGGCTAGGGAATAGATTCGTTTTTTTTCCATCATAATGCCTCGCTCGCCTTGACAATTTTCGAGTCGCATGTTCAACTGGCTTTTTTGCTCGATTTTAAGGCTCTTTCTCAACAATTTCCGAACGTTTACTAAGACGAAAATATCAGCCTAATAGCTCTTGGAATGGCTACAGATGCAAGGAAATGAAAGATAATTTTCTTGGGGGGGACCCCCCCCCCCCCACCAAAAAAAAAAAAAAAAAAAAAATCAGCGGCGTGCTTCGTCTCCGCGGTCAGTGCCCTCATTTTGCAGCACCCCACCTTTTCAAAATTCCTAGATCTCGCTGAATGTTTGAAAATTTAACTGCCGCAAACGCGTTTTCTTGCTATTCCTGCCCGTGAATACAGCAACTTCAATGTGGTCCAGCATGTGACTTACCCGAATCACAAACAACCAATCAATCGTCGCGGGTATGGGGCACTCGCTCTCACCGAGAACATTTTGAAAATTCAACCGCCGCAAATGCTTTTTTCTGCTATTCTAGTCCGTGAATTAAGCAACTTCAAAGTTTCCAATCGGTTTTGTAACCGAAATCCCACTCTATGCCGACCCTAATTCCCACCATCCAATCAGATTTGCAGCTGCATTCACAAATAATATTCGATGCCCGAGAAATTGCTTTAATCCATAGTAAATTCAGTACAAATTCGTAGTATTTATTTAAAAGAAAAGTAAAATAAGTGTTTTATTAGATTTCGGGCACTTTATTTTGCCAACTAGATGAAATAATAATTTTTGTTTTCACTTATCCGTCTGCCCGAAAAGTCAGATGGCCCGAAATTTAAGAGGGGATTCGTCCCCGCCCCTCCCCCCCCCCCCCCCAACCCGGCTCGTGCGCCTATGTTGACATCTAATAAAAAGTTTGATTTTTGTTTTTTGGTGTGTGTGTGTGTGGAGGGGGATTGAATAAGGTACACTTACAGAAGACACTCAGTGGGGACTAACTGTTTTGATGGCCCTCCACGGGGCTTAAGGTACACGCACAGAAGCATTACGCAGGCCAAAGGACCCAAACCAAACGGGAGACAGTCTTCGAATGACTCTTTAAATTAGTTCTTTTGGTTCACAAAATACGACAGGTTTAGTGTTGATGAACTTTATTACGGACATCAAAGCAGTGCCGGACTAGGCCCACCTGTCCACCTGTCCGTGACAGGTGGGCCTAAGCCTATAAAGAAAAAAGAAAAATAGAAAGAAAAAAGGAAAAAAGAGAAAGAAAGGAGAGGGAGAGGAAAGAAAAGAAAGAAGGAAGGAGAGCACAGGACAGGAGAAAGAAAAGATAGGAAAAAAATGACTGACAAACAACACAAAAAAAGAAGTGTACTACAAGGAAAGAACATTATGAGTTTGACCTCATTATATCGAGAACCGTGTAATTCATCTTTTGTTTTTGACACTGAAGAGAATTCTCAAATTCATCTAATGATAGTGCTCTTAGGTAATTCTGTTATCTAATTGTATCAGGAAATCAAACATTTGCCTTCTTCCGCTTTGGTCTGAAATGCTTGGAAAAAGAGTTTGCAGTTGTCAATTTTCAAAATTTTCCAGGGGGGAGACCCCCCCCCCCCCAGAACGTTCATGCGCCTTCCGCGCGCTCGTGACGCGCCTTCGCCGCGTAGTTGTGTGGGCCTTCGTCAGTGACCTGACAGGTGGGCCTTTGGCCGACCAGTCCGGCACTGCATCAAAGTAAGCCATTCAGTGTTGTATAACAGTGGTGAAGCAAGGATTGACTGAACAGATATAGACTTTGTGTAAATAACATGCAAATAAAAATATAGTATTTTAGACATAAATGTACATGGCAAAACCTAGTCCAAATTGAAGATGTCAAAGTACATCCTAATTCGCTATATTGCAAAACAATAACTTAATCGGCAGCAAGAAACGACTAACGAGAGCTCTAATTGGGTCTAATCGAACGAGTACAATATACCCGAACCGAGTGCAACCATGCATACTGTCCACGTTCAAAATGCAACAATACTCGAATCAGTTCTAGCATAAACAATGACAAGTCGCCGTGACCAATAAAAATATTGACTGTATTTTCTGAGGGAACATATTTAGTACAGGAGTTCTAATTTTCAACATGTCCCTCCAATCTGATTTAAAATACAGATCTATATTTCGTTTCGTTTTTTGTTGTTTTTTTTATACTTTCGATGGCTTACACTACATCATCCAGAACACGTCATTGATAACAACTCTTCCACATCCTAGTGTAGTAAAGACAAGTAAAACGAAATTTTGAACTATAAAAAACGAAACGAAATAGGATCTGTGTTTTAACCAGATTGCATGTCCCTGCTACTCTATAAAACTAGCAAATTTATATTTCCACATATTTACAAAGTGAATATATATAAGATTATCGAGGGGAAAAGTCAAACAAACAAGAAAGAAAAAAAAGGGCAAATAAACAGACATTCAGTGGTCAACAGTAATGATTTACAAGATGTGACAACATCGTGTAATAACGTTTAAAAATCCAAATTTACGTTGGAAAGATATGATCCTCGTTTTTGAAAGTGTTTTGATCAAATGAAAGAACAATCCTTGTAGTCTAAATGTGAACAGATTTGTGAATCTTTAAAACAGGGGTTGCCAACCTTTTATGTACCATGCGTCAATTTGTTCACACACGAATTAAAGGACAATATTGGTGCCAGTCATTATCACATATGTGATAGAACTAATTAAACACGTTCCAAATATAATTTTAACACAGAGATCATTGCTACGATAGCTGAGTAATACATGTTTCCTGAATCGGAAGTGACGAACGCCAAAGGAAAACACGAGTCATACCTTTATATAAGTGACTGATGTGACGAGTGATAACAGATTCACGGCCGAATTTCTGCTCACTTATAATTCCTTCCAAGACCAAAAGTTGTTGTTAGGAGCAGAACAGTAAAACGTAAAATCCCATTTCATTTCATTTAATACCTCTTGTGACGGCCTGAAAAAAGACTCAGTTATTTGTTTATATTTTTAGGTCAGTGTGATGCCCGGTGCCAATAACGAGAAACTGAAACAGCTTATAGATGAAAACAAGTAGATGAAATTAGGAATTTGAATAAGGAATTGTTTTCTCAATTTTGTCGGTCTGGATTACGGAAGACAGTTGGGGTCAATCAATTGAAATGAAATGGGGTTTAACGCCACTAAACACAATGACATGCCTTATGTTGCAACGCGCACACGTTTACTATTCAGCCACACAACCTCACGGTTATCCATACAATATTTGACGTAGTTAAAGCGAGATCAAGCCTTCCATTGAAGATGCATTAGGCGTTGATATCGAGGTTTTATAACCTCCTTGAGTCAACTGGCGTGGTTTCGAATCCCCGGTTGTACGTGACAAGGAGTAGGGTCGCCTGTCCAACCTAGTGGGTTTTCTCCGGGTCCTCCGGTTTCCTCCCACTGCTAAAGACTCCTATGCGCAAGCGAATTGTTGAAATAAAATTAAAACCATATGTTAGTCCCGAAATGATCTAGTTTGTGTCGAGTGGACGTTAAACCCCATTTCTCACTCTCTGTATAACCTCCATTAACCACACTAAACAAATATAATGTACATGTAATGGGGTTTAACGTCATACTGGGCTAATGATGAAGGGCATACGGCCTACAGTGTGGTACGAGGGAAATTTTACCCGAACAACTTCACTCCGGCCTACTCTTATATCGAAACGATTATATTAATAATTCTTAAAATGGGCTAAATGACTTCTCATAAACACCACAATTTCAATTTCAAGACACTACATATCTCTCATGTTGCTTATACCTAGTATCATTTATCTCATGTTGTTTGTTTATACAATGTTACGATTATCCAGTATCATTTATCTTATCAGGGTTGCATTATTGAGCCTACCTACATCACACTTCCGCATTCATACACATAGGGGGGTTAGATGGCCGAATGGTTAGCACGTGCGCGCGCTGTATCATAAGGCCTGTCACTGAGTCAACTGGCGTGGTTTCGAATCCCCGGTTGTACGTGACAAGGAGTAGGGTTGCCTGTCCAACCTCGTGGGTTTTCTCCGGGTCCTCCGGTTTCCTCCCACTGCTAAAGACCCCTACGCGCAAGCGAATGATTGAAATAAAATTAAACCCATATGTTAGTCCTGAAATGACCTAGTTTGTGTCGAGTGGACGTTAAACCCCATTTCTCTCTCTTTCGTATTCATTCACAGTTATTTATAGAGGTACTTCCTGTTACCGGAGTTAAATCGTAAATGTCTAATTAATAATTAAAGATACATTATGGGAGATTCGATAACGAGTTGGCAGTTCTCACTATAATAGTTAAAAACTAGATACCGTAAAGGCAATATGCTGAAAAATTTCATTCAAATTGATCCACTATGAACCGAAAACTAAGCGAATGAAATTTCTGCCTAGCCTCGGTCATCATTACGATAAACGATAAACAGCACAGTCTCGATTATCTATTTAATCGTTTAATCGAGAAGGAAAGTAATGCAGTAAATCGGCTCACAATCCACTTAAGATCGCAGGCTAGCGATGCCATCTAGAGTTGATTATGGTCTGGATAAGTTAATTAATGTCTAATTAATAATTTAATATAACATTTCAGGCCTAAATAAAGACTTGCAATATGCAGATTTAGCTCTTGCATAATGTATGTTTAATGAGAGTATTTTTATTTTTTTAAGATATAAACATGTCATGCAGACCTTTATAATTATAATAATAATAACTTTATTTAACGAGGCAACGTATTTAGTTTGCAAAACAAAAAAAAACAAAAAAACTAATCTTCCATAGGTCCCTCCTCCTAAGCTACAAAGACATATATACATGTAATATCAGGATAAATTCAAAATCATTTGAAATGTAATAGCATTTTAAAGTGGGAAGTTTGGGAGGTCACTCCCAAACTCCTAAACTCCCAAACTACAAAACATACACATTATACAAGTAGAATATAGGAAGAACACTATAATTACACACAAAATAAGATAGAATGCAGTTGCAAGTTAAAAATAATAAGTATGTCATCAGTTGAATATTATGGTTCCTTCAGTGTGCAAAATAAATGAGTTTTCAGTTTAATCTTAAAATTTTCAACATTTTTACTATCTGAGAACCGGAAGGTTTTTTTTATATGTTTAAATCTGACAGAATAAAAATGGATGTAAATAGAAATAATTCTTAAATTATTTGCATGATTACAAATTAATAAATGGATATCTAGAATAACATATTTAAACATATTTATTAATAAGTGCCCTAAGATCCTTTTCACTCGCACCGACATATCCATCAATCTGTAAAGAACAAATATATATCAAAATTACATTTAACCAAAAAAATTGAATTCCTTGTAATATTGTAATAGTTGAATTCCTTAAAGATGCGGGGGTTGGATGGCCGAATGGTTGGCATTTGCTCGCTGTATCATAAGGTCTGTCATTGAGTCAACTGGCGTAGTTTCGATTCGCCGGTTGTACGTGACAAGGAGTAGGGTCGCTTGTCCAACCTTCTGGGTTTTCTCCGGGTCATCCGGTTTCCTCCCACTGCTAAAGACCCCTACGGGCATGCGAATTATTGAAATAAAATTGAACCATGTTTTAGTCCCGAAATGACCTAGTGTGTTTCGAGTGGACCTTAAAACCCCATTTCTCTCTCTCTCCCTTAAAGATGCATTATGTAAGAAGTCTCGAATAAACAATAAATGCAGCATATTGACAAAACTCCAAACATTGATCACTTCGCTCAGAATAAAGTAATATGAATGAAATTTTAAATATATTCAAATTGCGTTTTGTATTTTTGAACTACAGGGAGTATCTGTCCCAAAATGGTTTAGTACTGTTCAGTAACAAAGATGAATTGGAAACTTTACAAATTTTAGCACCCTCTGCAACCTGATTAAAACACAGATCCTATTTCGTTTCGTTTTTTATAGTTAAAAATTTCGTTTTACTTGTCTTTACTACACTAGAATCTAGAAGAAATGTTATCATTGACGTGTTCTGGATGATGTGATGGATTAGCCAATGAAACGGTCTGTTACGGCGAGATTTTGGGGGTGAGATGCACGGAACTTTATGTAAACCACTAGTAACGTTAACGCTGATTGATTAATCAATGTCTGACGTAATAGGTTCAAAAGTCGCTCGTATGACACCTGACGCGACCTTCTATTACAACTGGTTAGATTTTCATGTAGTGTAGGCCATCGAAGATATACAAAAAAGAAACGAAATATAGATTTGTATTTTAATCGGATTGCACTCTCTGTAGATGATAATACATAAGTCAATGCCACTAAAATACAGGGTAAAATCGTTTTTTTATTATCTAATTGTCCTGTCCGATTCCAGGCATTACATCTACAGCTAATGAACGGGGGCGGGGAGAGAGCTGATTTTTGAGGGTGGTGGTGCCTCGGTGAGTAAAACGATTGCTCGCTAACCGGAAGGTTCCATGTTCCATCCCCATAAACACATAAACAATAATAAGTGAAATGAAATGAAATGAAATGGGGTTTAACGTCCTATTGTTCTGCTCCGAAATGAGCTAATGAAGACGGGTATATGCTATATAGTGTGCTATGAGGAAAATTTTGAACAGACAGCCGCACTATGGCCTACTCTTATATCGAATTCCAACTGTCAAGGGATCTTTTACGTGCACGCCAATGTGTACACGGGACCTCGGTTTTTTCGTCCCATCCGAACGACTAGACATCTGTCCTTGTCAGGCCTTGTCAGGCCTTGTCAGGCCCTCCGTCCTGCATCACTGACACGGGGAAACCACGCTGGAAAATCTGGATGAACTTTCTCGGCCAATGCAGGGATCGAACACCCGACCTCCAGGCTAGCGAACCAGCGTCTTACCTACTTAGCCATGTGATCCCCTTCAATGACAGACCTCATAATCTAAAGGGGACGAGTTAAACCATCAGCGCCACCCTCACTACTTAAAAGAAATATGTTATCTTTAACCATAAAACAAGATAAAATCTGAGACAACATCCACCATATCAATATTACCTTTTCTCCGCACTTAATAATAATAAATGTTGGCATTTCTCCTATGTTATATCTTTCTGCTAATTCCTGAAATAAAATTCATTAAAATAGTTAGTTAATCAAAGAGGGACCACTTGTCAGATTTGATGGTCACTGACTTGGAGTGGAAGTTGAATTAACCCATTCAACTGACATCCCATATATATAGGCTGGCATCCCATATATTTAGACTGACATCCTGTATATTTAGACTGATATCCCATATATTTAGGCTGGCATCCCATATATTTAGACTGACATCCCATATATTTAGACTGACATCCTGTATATTTAGATTGACATCCCGTATATTTAGAGTGACATCCCGTATATTTAGACTGACATCCTGTATATTTAGACTGACATCACGTATATTTAGACCGACAACCCATTAGACTGACATCCCATATATTGAGACTGACAGCCCATATATTTAGACTGACATCCTGTATATTTAGACTGACATCCCATATATTTAGACTGACAACCCATTAGACTGATATCCCATATATTTAGACTGACATCCCAAATATTTAACAACACAAACCCCACAAAGATGACATCTACCAAACTAGCAGGATAGTGGAGTAAGGGGGAGTTACGGTCAGACGAACTCGGCACCTAAACACTATTCCGCAAATAAAACTGATACCAAACCCAGAGAGTGGGATAGTGGAGTAAGGGGAGGCCACGATAAGACGGGCCTGGCACCTAAACACTCAAACGATGACATCTACCAATCCAGAAGCAGACGAGATCATCTACCAAACGATATGTTTTATATTAAATAAAGGGAAGAACTTCCCACTAAACCAAATCCATGGCCTAAGGCCAAATGGAAAGATTGCAAAATCATATTCTAAAAAACAGGAATCAGCTTCGGCTCTCCTATGTCTTGTCTGCGATATCACTTATGTGGAAGCAGACGTTAAACACCAAGAACGAACGAACGATATATTTAACATCTTTGGACTTTAGACTTACTTCTACATCATCAACATCAACTTTTAAAGCAATAAACTTTCCTTCCATTTTCTTGGCTATCTTCTGAAAAGAAAAGAAAAATGAATATAACATTCCATACCTGGTGAACCGCCCTTCGATGGTTTCTACATGATTCTCTCCCGTTGTATTTAAATGTTTTCGTTGTATCTTCACCTGTACTATGGTTGTCATTCTTTAATTGATAACGAGAGAACTCTCGTCGAAACATCGTCAGAAATAAACTTTTAACCCTTGTGGGTTCACGTTATGAGAATCACATAGCAGGTATCAGGGGTCCATATGGACCCCAGTTATAATACAAAGTTTTTAAGTACAGATATATTTGAATTAAAAGGCAGCGGTTTAGTTTTTATTTGCCTTCATATTTGACAACTGAAAAACAACTAAATTATTTTACAAAAACATTTTAGTGACATTTGGAAAAGATTTAATAATTCTCAAAAAATTGCTACTTTGTGTACTGTGTGATAAAGAGGTTAAAATGGCAATTCAAGCTTGATACAAAAACCATTGAATATCTTGAATTCATCATTTAATTTTTGGTATTTGTAACATGCAGATGTTAAAAGAGAGAATACTCTGGCATACGCAATCTGGTATCAGGCAGCAAACACATTAGCAAATCCCTAGGTTGAGTTGTTTAAGTTACGGGTCCGATTGGACCCCTTGTTATCTTCAAGCGTTGGGCCTGATTTGCATGTAACAGAACTCTGCATGTGGGAAGCAGATGAATACATAACTCTTCGCTACGTGTAAAAATGTATAGGAGACAAAGTCACTAAATTTCAGAAAGCAATGACCAGTAGTTATTACACAACACTATAAAACATGTGCATGGAGTCCACGGAGACCCCACGTGCACCGACAAGGGTTGAAGATATATTATGTAATATTTAGATAAAGAGCTAGCCATTTTTGCTATAATAGTTCGAAAATAGATAATGTAAAATGAATAATTTGAAAATTTCATTCAACTTACTTTATTGCGAGCGGAGATATTAGCCTTTGAAGGTTTGACAAGACGTGTGCAATAATTACAACCACCGTACTGGTTGGTTGTTAGAAGCTAAGTCTCGCTCCTCCATTTTTAGCTTAAATCAAAATATGGCTAAACTATTCTAATCTATTTAATATCGGAGAAATCCGATGCCACCGAGAGTTGATTATGGCCTGGATAAGTTAATTAATGTCTAATTAATAATTTAGATAACATTTTAGGCCTAAAGAAAGACCTGCAATAGACAGATTTAGCTCTTTGCATAATGTCTATTTAATCCATAATGTATGTTTAAGTAACTTGGGAGCCACGGTGGCTAGGTGGATAAGGCGCTGGCTCGCTAGCCTGGAGGTCGGGTGTTCGATCCCTGCATTGGCCAAGAAAGTTCATCCCGATTTTCCGACGTGGTTTCCCCTTGTCAGTGATGCAGGACGGAGGGCCTGACAAGGACAGCTGTCTAGTCCTTCGGATGAGACGAAAAACCGAGGTCCCGTGTAAACATTGGAATGCACGTAAAAGATCCCTTGGCAGTTGGAATTCGATATAAGAGTAGGCGATAGTGCCGCTGCCCGGGCAAAATTTCCCTCATAGCACACTGTATGGCGTATGTCCGTCTTCATTAGCCCAGTATAGGAGCAGAACAGTAGGACGTTAAACCCATTTCATTTCATTTCATTTTTAAGTAACTTGTATTCCATACAGTTGTGATAAACATTGCAAGCAGTTCTATCATCAACGTCTTGTTTTGTCTGAGTTTTTAGTTTGTTTAACAAAAACAGGTCATTTTGGGACTAACATATGGTACCTACAATTGTATTCCAATGATGCGCTTGCACGTATGGTTCAGATCACTCAGGGAAAACCCAACCCAAGAGGTAACGTTACAAGCATGGGATTGACATCACGCCACTTGATACAACGACAAAATGAAATGCGTTTAACGTTGCCATTCGGCAAACCTCGGAAAATTCTACGATGCTAGATGTAGGGTACCGGAATCTGCCGAGGTTTGCCGAGTGTGAAACCCAAGGCCGGTAAATCCCGATGATTTTTCTCGGCCAACAATGAAATGAAATGGGGTTTAACGTCCTACTGTTCTGCTCCTATACTGGGCTAATGAAGACAGCTCGGCCAACAAGTTGAGAGAGCCAACGCCTTATGTACTTATCCACCAATGCTCCCTGGCACAATGACATTTGAATCCATGATCTAGAAAATTCGCTTACTTCAAATGCTGGTCCGATGACCTTACAGGGTCCACACCATGATGCAGAAAAATCAACACAGATCATTTTATCCCCTGCTTCGTTTAATATGGCATCAAATGTTTCCTAAAATAAACACAAACTCTTGAGAGAGAGAGAGAGAGAGAGAGAGAGAGAGAGAGAGCGCGCGTTCAACCTTGATACCGAGCCGGTAGTAATAGCTTATTCATATACCAAACATAAAAAACCTATGTTCGATAACATTTTCAAACGTTTGGCCGCCATATTAGATTTTACAACAATCCTACAAATCAATGTTCAGTCGCCATTTTTATTCCTTTATTAGAAAAACCTTTTTGTTTTGTTTTGAACCTAGTCCAGGTGGTAATAATTCTTAGGGAGTCGATTTTTTTACATTTCGACGTTGTTTACTTCCGGTTCAACTTAGAATTTTGAGACCAACTATCTGGTGACCTAACCGTTCAATGCCCTTGACCTTTGCATATATGATGACCCTAACGTCTATTAATAACTAATATCAAAAAGTTCGGACTTAAAGAAGTACATCTTCCGGTTTTATTAAGAATTCAAAATAACAGGTTTTTCCACTTTAATAGGTATTGGATGTTTCTATACTTAACAGTTCATTGTGTACCTTGATTGTTGACGTGACAAGGCGTCCACTGACGTACCGAAACACGTCAGTACCCCTTCGGGGTTCTAGTTATTGTTATTTTCGAGGCCTCCCGCAGTAGCCTACTTTTATGTTATTCTAGAAACCGTCATTTGAATATAAAATACCTTAACACAGTTGATATTGAAACGGGAAGTTTTTGACTACGACGAGGTATATTATCAACCAGCCAATCCAGGCTATTCTACATTGTTTGTCTACTATTGTCCACTCCATAGTAAGGGTTACCAAGTAACACAACAAACAAACAAATAAATATAGCTATTGGACAGGCCGCCCTGCTCCTTCTCACGTACAAGCAGGGAGCGCAAACCACGACACTGTTGGCAGTTCTTACTATAATAGTTAAAAACTAGATAATGTAAAGGCAATTGATCCTAGATAATGTTCAGTCAAATTGATCCACTATAAACCGAGAAATAAGCAATTGAAATTTCCGCCTAGCCTCGATCATCATTTATAAAGTCAGTACGATAAAGAAAACATAGTCTCGATTATCCATTTATTGATTTATTTGGGAAGGGAAGTTATGTAGTAAATCGCGTCATAACCCACTCAAGATCGCAGTCTAGCGATGACATCGAGAGTTGATTATGGTCTGGATAAGTTAATTAATGTCTAATTAATAATTTAGATAACATTTCAGGCCTAAAGAAAGACCTGCAATAGACAGATTTAGCTCTTGCATAATGTATGTTTAAGTGTAAATAATTTAATTAAATCAACCTGTCCATAATATCATACTTAATGTATTGGAAGTTAAACCTGTATTAAAGGACTGGTGTATACATTGGCGTGCACGTAAAAGATCCCTTGGCAGTTGGAATTCGATATAAGAGTAGGCGATTGTGCCGCTGCCCGGGCAAAATTTACCTCTTGCATAATGTATGTTTAATGTATATATCACCCACTTTATATGTATACGTATGTAATTTACATGGTGCTAGAAAAGGGTGTTACATCATTGACGGGTGTTTCACCTCACTTCATAACCAAATTGTAATTAAAAATTTGAATTATACTCACAGCACTGTCGACTAACTTCACCATTTTTGATTTCCACTATCACGAATCATGACAATAACAATTTAGCCGTGTGTACCGGTAATATTTATAACATAAACAAACAAACGCCCTCTATCGATAGGGTAATTCACAGCCTCAAATATATGTGCTTTAATTACTTGGGGGTTGGATGGCCGAATGGTTAGCACGTGCGCGCAGTATCATAAGGCCTTTAATTTAGTCAACTAGCGTGGTTTCAAATCCCCGGTTGTACGTGACAAGGAGTAAGGTAGCCTGTCCAACCTAGTGGGTTTTCTTCGGGTCCTCCGGTTTCCTCCCACTGCTAAAGACCCCTATTATTGAAATACAATTAAACCACATGTTAGTCCTGAAATGACCCAGTATGTGTCGAGTGGACGTTAAATTCTAGCCTGTGAATTAAACAACTTCAGAGTTCCCAATCGGTTTGCAACCAAAATCCAACTCTATGCCGACTGTTGCAGCTGCATTCACAAATAATAATCGATGCCCGAAAAATATTGCACAAAGTAGAGTGGTTCCAGACAAAATGTTTTAATCCATAGTCAATTCAGTACAAACTCGTGGTATTCAATTATTTTTGAGACTGTTCAAATCGGGATTGTCCTTTTAATACATGATTGTGCTTTTACAGCAAACAGCATACAAAATTCCTAGCCTAAATAACATTCATGAAAAAAAATATGCATTAGTCAGGTCTTAACAAGTTACTTATAAATCAATCATATAATTTAAGATGATGCAATCCACAGTAATACTAATCACCTATACAGGTATTCCCTGGAAATTCTAGAACATTACAGTCACGTCGACCGATATATTCCCTGGGAATTCTAACTGTACATGTAGGTGCACAATACAGTGTAATATGAACAGGTGTGATGTAATCTCATGAATATCAAAGCAAGGTTTCTATTACATTTTCCCGTGTGGAGAGAGAGAGAGAGAGAGAGAGAACTTGTTTTAAATTACACTCTTACATAATGCATCTTTAAGACAGATTGTGCGCGTTGGGATAGGTGACACGGTGGGATAGGTGACACGGTCCGTTCGGCTAAACGGCTTCATACAAATCATTAAATGTACGGTATTCATTTAGTCACTTCACTGTAGAGAGAGAGAGAGAGAGAGAGAGAGAAAGAGAGAGAGAGAGAGAGAATGCTGTTTAACGTCCACTCGACACAAACTAGGTCATTTCGTGACTAACACATAGTTCAATTTTATTTCAATCATTCGCACGCGCGTGTTGGTCGTTAGCAGTGGGGGAAACCGGAGGACCCGGAGAAAATCCACGATGGTTGGACAGGCGACACTATTCCTTGTCACGTACAACCGGGGAATCAAAACCCCGCCAGTTAACTCAATGACAGGCCTTATGATACAGCGCGCGCGTGCTAACCATTCGGCCATCCAACCCCTTCTCCCGTATGGTAAATTATACACCAACTTGTAATGTCGGGGCAGATCATGGGGTGGTAAAGGGGGCTGTAGATCTACCCAAACGTCAGGGGCGTACATATCAATTTTGTTGGCGTGGCGGGTGTGTGTGTGTGTGGGGGGGGGTTGTATCAAAAATAAGACCAACTGATTCATGGGCACCTAATACGATTGACGCATCCACCCCGTGGAGAACGTTTGTGGGAAGATTGTGCAGAATTCTGATGGTCAGAAAACACCTGTAAAGAAGAACAATTTAGTACTACGCATAGGAATTTATGTTATTTATTAAAAAATTTGCAAGAATAAAGTACTGTGAATCTGTGACAACTTCTGAAAGTGATAATTACATCATTTACACGGATATATAACACCCCCCCCCACACACACACACACACACATACATTTACACCCATGGGTAGGACATCGCTCTGCGTTAACCCTCATTAAATACTTTTCTGTTAAATTTTAGATTTTCCTTGGGAATTTTAGTGATATAATACATGTATGTTTATTAGCCTTTGGAAAATCCAGTGCATTACTCAATCCAAACGGAATTATCTTCTGCCATGTTGTCACTAAATTTTTTCAATGGCATTTAGTAATTGAAGGGTATATATACCGGTCACAATTCTATGGAATATACAGAATACAATATATAGAATACAATTACTGCTTATTACTGGGCGACTTACTTTTCGACTTGCTTAGTTTAAATTGTTACCAATAGACTGGCAAGAAAATAAAGGGTATAATAAATTTTGGTGTTATCTTGACTAACACTGGGAAGTCTGGTTTGAGAGAGATTTCAATCTCCACTCCATGTGAACTAGATCAAACTATATCATTTTGGGACTAACATGTTTTAGTAGAGGTCGTTAGCAGTGGGATGAAACTGAAGGACCCGAAGAATACCCCTGGGGTTAGACAGGTGACCCTGTTCCTTGTCACGTACAAGTGTGGGAGCAAAACCATACCACTTGATTCTATAACAGACCTTCAGATCTAACGTGCACATGTTAAACCACTAAACCTGCCACAGTGAGAGTGCGAGAGAGGCCACTTGTTCAATTTTATTTCAATAATTTGTTTGTGCATAGGGGGTCTTTCGCTGTGGAAGGAAAGTGAAGGACCTGGCGTAGGGCACAGACAACAATGCACCAAAAAACTCTTAGAATAATATATCTGGTAACACATCTCATTATCTTCATATACAGACTGGCTAAGTGGGTAAGACGCTGGCTCGCTAGCCTGGAAGTCGGGTGTTCGATCCCTGCGTTGGCCGAGAAAGTTCATCCAGATTTTCCGGCGTGGTTTCCCCTTGTCAGTGATGCAGGACGGAGGGCCTGACAAGGATAGCCGTCTAGTCGTTCGGATGGGACGAAAAACCGAGGTCCCGTGTACGCATTGGCGTGCACGTAAAAGATCCCTCATAGCACACTGTATGGCGTATGCCCGTCTTCATTAGCCCAGGTTAGGAGCAGAACAGTAGGACGTTAAACCCCATTTCATTTCTTTTCATTTCATTTCAAACGATCAGAGACAGTAGAGTAGGTAGCATATTACTAGGAGATGGTGTTTGTTGTGGTAGTGATGGTGACGAGAAAGAGAGAGAGATGAGGTTAACGTCCACTCGACACAAACTAGGTCATTTCGGGAGTAACGTTGTGACACTACGGGGTAGATGTGTGGCACTTTCGTCTAGGCCTTTCTTCGACTTCACGTTGTTTGGATCAATTATTTCAATCATCAATTAACTGACTCTGGAACACCGTTTATGTTGTTACTAAATTTATAAAATTAAACAAATAGAGCAAACTACAAAGTTATGATAGTACTTTTCGAGTTATTAAAATATCCACTTCAGCTATTAGGGCGGGACAATTACCATCTTGGGGTAAGTAATAGTTATATACCTTGTTTTCAAGGTGTATGGGTTGATACGCCGTCTCTTTTTTGAGTGGGGCTCCGAGGGGAAGCCGAGGAGATCTCCACTCAAAAAAGAGACGGTGTATCAACCCATACCCCGAGAAAACAAGGTATATAACTGACTTATACTAAATACTTTTTTCTATTTTTTCCAATTTCAAAAGCATTTTTCATGTCACAAATTTATCAAAGTTTCCCATTTAGAGCCCCCCAATTATCTCATCGCAAACGCCTATTTCTACTCAGGTAAATGATTTCAGTACACTGCACGTGCATTTCACGGTTTAAATCAGGTCAGGGAAAATGTTCATAACAGGGATATTGATTGGTTGAGAAAAGCAAACGTCATCCAATCATTTTGTACAATAGCCATGTTTTGCCAACATCCTGGCTGCGTCGATTGTAGTGGATGGCAGAAATGAATGCGGGAATTGGTCGAAGAGTCCTACTTTATAATGTCACAGATATATATTTCTAAGACCGAGAATATCAGTTCTGCAAGAGATTTCAATGATCGCGAAGATTTAGAAGCCCGATCCTTCACGGAACAAGAACTTAAAGCCATGCAGATGAGTCGAATTCTCCCAAACACGAGGAAAAATACCAATTGCATACACTGAAAAAAAACTTGTGTTGAAACAACACAAACTTGTGTTGTTTTCAACACAAGTTAGGTGTCTCTATTTAACAACACAAACTTGTGTTAAATGTTGAAACAACACAAGACTTGTGTTAAAATTTACCAAACAACACAAACTTGTGTTGAAACTTGTGTGAAAATCTACACAATACTTGTGTTGAAACTTGTTTTGAAATTTCTGAAACTTGTGTTGAAATTTCTGAAACTTGTGTGAAACTTGTGTTGAAATTTCTGAAACTTGTGTGGTTTCATAAAAACTTGTGTATAACCACCAACAAAAACTTGTGTTTTATTTTCCCTCAATTTAGCAATCTTTCCCATGCAGCCCCCATCCCTTTTGCTCTGTTTAACCTGTAAAGTTTGATAAATGAGGTAACAATAATTTTATTTGTTAAATTATCATTTATTCATAAAATGATAGGAAAAAGTAAATTAACACCACCAAATCAAAACTAAATAGACATCATTTGAAATGTTAACAGAAAACAGAGATATAATTCTAATACTAATAAAAATTTTGTTATACTTTGCCCCCCTCCCCCCACATCACAAAATACAAAAAAGCTATTTAATTTTTTCTTTACCCGAAAACAAGAACTGAGAAAAGAAAGATCCCTACCCCATACCCCAAAAATATATAATTCAAATATATCTAAATTTAATAACATCCAAACCAAGCCCTAATTAGATTAATTATGCACTAAATTGAAATACTTTCAGAAACTGAAAAGTGCTACAAAGTCATATTACAAGTGATTTGTGAGGCATCTAGAAATAACTAGCATACACAGAAAACTAACAAAAGAAAAATGCACTATTTTGCAGGAGTAATAAAATGATGTAGAACCTTTTCCTCATTAAAAAAAAACAACAAACAAAATGAATATTTTGTACATAAAAGGAGCAAAGCATCAAGATTACAGGATTGAAAAATAAAAAAATATCAGAGAAAATCGCAAACATTAAATAATATGTACAAAATATATATAAATAATCACAAATCAAAAGCAAGGGGGAGCCACTGTGGTTCAGTGAGTGCATTGGCCGAGAAATTTCAACTGGATTTTCCGACATAGTTCCCACACGTCAGTAGTGTAGGACATGGCAAGGGATAATTGGGTATAAGCCCAGAATTGAAACTACCCCCACTGCGTTTACTTTAAAGAACCCTTGACAATTGAATTATCTGACTCAATGACAGACCCTTCTGATCCAATGTGCGTGTGTTAACCATTCGGCCCTCCTGGGTTCCCTTTAAACAACCCTTGACAGTTGAAATATTTGATATAAGAGTAGGTTGTAGGGCAGAATCACCATAATAACACAGAAAAGTAGGATATTAAACCCTATTTCATTTCATAAGCAAGGGAAAGACACCTTAATGTAGGTCAAGGTTTTTGTAATTCTGGGTATATTTGATCTACATTTGGTTTCTAGATTATGCCTATTAAATACTTTATGATTTCCGACCAAATTCTAAGTGATTTATATGTCACTTTACATTCTATATTATACATAAATTTCTGTAGAGAATTAAAATCTAATTGTGTTTGGGATGAATATTTAACAGTAAAAACAAAAAAAAAATATTCAAAAATTGGGTCAAATGCATTCTTTTCCAGAATTATAAAATAAATTGATGCTTGGGATCTCTTGTTGTTATCATACATCAAATAATCTTCCATCCTAAAAAATAAAAAGTAGGCAATAAGAATACTTTCTTACTATTTATGGTTCACAATGTTTAAATAAACAATTTATTTTGCCACATCGAGACTGAGTCTCTATTTTGTTTCATCTTTGGGTAACACTTATTGTGTCTTGTCCA